TGGTTAGGATTGCATAATGCAAACTGTTGATTTTCAAGATAAAAAGAAGCGTTCATAGCCCGCATTCCAATGCTGGAGCAGGAAAGCTTAAAATACCTACCAAAACACTTGAATACAGACATACTGTCAGTATGGCATGGCTCTGTGCAGGTGTAAATGAAGTTAAGCCAGTTAAATCCCAACAGCCAATCAGCAAGGAGAATAGAGGAAAGCTGCATGCCTATTGGTTGATGCCTTGCATGCCATTGTGATGACGCATGTCCAAATGTGGTAAACACTGCACATTTACACAGTAATACATTAGCTATTACACAGCCAAAAAACTCAAATAAAACCATTCTAAAAGCCTGTATCACAATAATTTAAAAAACGCCTAGGGGTATTTGCCCACTGTACCTCCATACCAAATTTCAGGACCTTAGGCCCTAAAATGAAGAAGCTGAATCCATTTAAAGATATGGCAGGAGGAGAAGGAGAAGAAGAAACATCAGAAAAAGCAATATGGTTTCACCACATAATAAAACATGGCTTGATATCTTGGTCGTGTTATGACAGTGCGCCAATGGATATTGTTTTCTACACAGTATTCAATGTCTAATCCCCTGGTAGGCATTTGCTGAGAGTACAGAGCATCATTTGTGACCACGCACGGCGAATATATACAGCATATCATTCAGCTTCTCTATGGCATACTTATACATTGTGAAAAGATGTATTTTGCTTCATTCTTAGAGCATGTCTACGTCGATCCTAAGCTTGTAGGCTCGGTCACTGCCGTTCTCGTGGTCGTCCTGGTTGCAGCAACCTTCTGCACTGTGCGGATAGTCAAACGGCTGAGGTACAGGCTAGACCCGACACAGCTGTTCAAGGAAGTCCTAGAGGTAACAGTAGTCAGAAAATATGTAAATGTAAAGTTGATACTTGCTTAAGCACAGAATTACGTCATTACCTGCTGAATTGCAAGAACTCCTGACTATATGATACCCCCTTTTAGAGATTTTTTGCAATCCCAGCGCTGTGTCTACTGCCATAGTGCTTGCTTACTTACTTGCAATTATGTAAATCATACCATAAAAATATTTTTACAATTATAGACAATCTGACCCAAATAAAGAGCATTCCAATATAAAAATCTAATAGAGGCAACTGAATTCACTGTAACTCAGTGCGAGTAAATTAATGTGTTATAAATAGTCTTTCTTTTCTTAGTGTTGTATAGCAGTGTATTGTTTTTATATGATTGTGTAGTATGTGCAATGCTGTTAATGTTGTTATGTCTAAGGCCACACAGACTGAATTTTATGGATGACATCCTCTGAAGACCCCCAAACTAGTACGCGCGGGTGAATAAAAATGCTACTAAACCACAGGAATGCAAAGCTGGTATTGTGAATTTACGGCAGAACATAGCGACATATACGACGAGCCGGCAAATGCTGACTTTTTGTGGAATTTATGAATCGGCACTGTACGTATGCACTGAGTTCTTGAGTCGTGCAGCTAGATTTGAGAACAGGCGAAAATCATTGCGCACGCGGATGTCATCCATAGAATTAAGTCGGTGTGGCCTAACTGTCGTAGAATCCAGGAAGATTAGTTGCTATTCCTCTCGATTTTGCAACAGCTGAATATCTCAATAAAGTAGCAAAGAGGCGAATAATTGTCTAATCACTTACAAAAGCAAAAACACGCATACCAATAATGACACCAATTAACAGGGCGACAAAAATAGTATCATTATGAAGCATGTTTAAACTGTAATGTCCAACACAAGAAAATGGACTCACCAAATTTTCGACTGCACAACTCCAGTCTTTGTCAAGGAAAAAATGACTCCATTTTCTTCTGTTGGACATTACAGTTTAAACTTGCTTCATAATGACTTCTACCAACACAGATGAACTTTCAAGATAAAAATAGTATCGTTGTGCTACTCACTTAATTTTTTTATTTATTCTCAGGATATCGTTGGGTCTGAGAAAATGGAACCATGGTTGAAGAAAAGAAGGGATCTGTACCTTGACGAGCTGATTGGTGAGGGAGAATTCGGTCACGTAAGGAAGGGCGTGCTGCGGGAAGATCGACAACAGGCCGTCATCGTAGCTGCCAAGACTTTGAGGTCAGTTTTACAAAGGAAAAGACTCCTTTACAAAAATAAGACGTACAGAAATCTTTTGTATTTTTTTATAGCTCGAAAGTCATTTTTAGGAATAGGTGCACTGGTGCACCCAAACTAAAAAAATAGGTGCACATAAAAGTTTTTTTAAGCCTAATTACAGACCTTACTGCTCCTCTTCTGGGCTTGAATGTGAAATGGGAGCTAAATTTAAAATCTTACAAATCAAGTACATGTATTACAACAAAGATTTTATATTTTTCTGACACTTAGATGCCAAGAATATCCTGTATACATGCACTACTATACATTTCATATGTACAAAAATACCTACAAAATATTTTTGTGCACTGGTGCACATACACCCAGTATTTCGAGTCCTGAATCTTTCTTCCGTTTATATTATTTGCAAAACAAGTGTGGGTGAATAACTGAAAACAATATAGACGTAGCATAAATAAAGAAATGATTAGGCAAATGAATGAAACTTCAACTTTACGAACAACCTTTTCTTGTCGCGTGATAGTCAACGCTAATCATGTGACAAGAACTCCAGGACGAGAGTAACGGTTCAAGTAAGAGACAGCAATATGTATTACAGGGCTCGAAATACTGGGTGCATGTGCACCTTAGTGCACCCAAATTTGGAGCTGTGCACCCAACTTTTTTCTTTGGGTGCACCAGTGCACCCAAAGTTTTTTTGTAGATAGTATACAGCATATTCAACATCTTACACTTACTTACACTTAGTCCTCTTCTGAGCCAGCATGGCTCTTAAGGCAGAAGGAAGGTCTTCCATCTGGCCCGGTCCGCTGCCATCTTTGGTGCCTCATCGAGAGTGAAACCATGGCTCCGTACTTCTTTGTCGATGGTTCTTCGCCATGTTTCCTTCGGTCGTCCTCTAGGTCTCCTGCCCTGAGGCGTCCATCTTAGAGCTGTTCTGGTTATACTATCTGGTGGCATGCGGCATATGTGGCCTAACCATCTCGAAAAGCGTATTTAGAAGCGTCCACGGGTGTTTATTGGCTTGCACAAAGTATTCAGAAGCGTCTACATTTTTTTGGCTTGCGCAAAAAGAGTATTAAAGAGTATTTAGAACCGTCCACATGTGTTTATTGGCTTGTACAAAAAGAGTACTAGTATTTAGAAACGTCTGTAGATGTTTATTGGTTTGCACAAAAAGAATTAGAAGTGTCTACTGTACAGGTATTCATTGGCTTTCACAAAAAGAGTATTTAGAAACGTCCACAGGTGTTTTAAGCGTCTACAGGTGTTTAATGGCTTGTACAAAAAGAGTATCTAGATGCGTGTACAGGTGTTATTGCACAAAAAAGTTAGTTAAAGGCGTCTACTGGTATTAATTTGCTTGCACAAAAAGAATATTTAGAAGCGTCTACTGGTGTTTATTGGCTTGCACAAAAAAGTATTCTTTAGCGTCTACATGTGTTTATTTGCCACAGATTACCCACCGTGACCTGGCGTGTAGGAACATCGTCCTGTCCTCCCCTGACGGACATACCGGCCGTCTGGTCGCTAAAATCTCCGATTTCGGACTGGCCCGTGACGTGTACGTGACGACACAGTACATGAGACACCCTCTGGTTAGTGGCCTATACAATTTGATAACTGTCAACTCTTTCTCTATTGTCAAATGAACCCAATTTTCTATATATCTTCAGGATAGTATCAGAGCCTGCCTCTAGTCCAACTGCTAATCATTACATAATTATGTTTTATAACTTTGTAATGATAAGTCAAGTTTATCATTGCCATTTTAACGAGATTTGGGAAGTTTTTTTTTTAAACAAATAAACTAGTATCGGTTAGTTATTGTGGTTTACGTGTTTCTCGTTAACTTACTCATTATTTAACGCTGTTAACATATAGCGTTTTTAATCTTTCATGACTCAAAATCTATGCAAAATCTATGGTGGATCATATGTTTTACCTAGATTTATAAGTTCGTTGGAGTTACAAAATAACATTTGTCCATAGACCAACATGCTGCTTCCAATAAAGTGGATGGCAATAGAGTCTCTGATCGAGGGTGTTTACAGCTGCAAGAGTGACATGTGGGGGTTCGGCGTCGTGCTGTGGGAGATAGCAACTCTGGGTGAGTGTCAATTTTTTTTATTACCTCCATGAAAAACGGAGGTTTTGTTTTTTGCCCGTCTGTGTGTGTGTGTATGTGTATGTGTGTGTGTGTGTGTGTGTGTGTTTCCGCACATTTATAGTCAGCATAACTTCAGAACGCCTTTATGGATTGTGATGATATTTAGTATGCTGGTAGGTCTTAAAAAGCCAAAGGTCAAGATCAAATATAGGCCTCCTGGTGGCTGACCTTGGTGCTGCAGCAGAACTTCCGGTTTGGCAGGGAAAACAGATGTGCGGGTTATGTAACAAAACACCAGCTGTGAGGCAGCGCGCCTACCCGGTTTGATTGATGAGATTCTCCCTCTGGAATAGGCTACATGTACTGAGTTGACCATATCTATTACAGGCTGACCTCTTTCAGCCCAAAGGTGCTACTGTTAAAAACAAAAACCTGTGCTGTTTTGTTCTGTAGTGTACCGTGTAAAAACATTAAAAAAACTCAAATATTTTATGGAGGTTTGAGATCTCCGAATTCTTGTTTTTTTTTTTTTTGTTAATACAGGACATGGTGGTAAGTTACTCTAGCTGTAGCTAATTTTAACCTCACCACCGGACATACAGGTATACGGAGACAAAACACATGACAAAAACAACAGGGAACAGCAAATAGGTGGAAATGGGAACACGGTGATTATGGTAATGAATAATAATGAATGGCAAGGAAGAACATGTTTTGTAGGCTCTGTAGGAGTTAATCTAATACAAACCGTTTCGGCAATGTACAATGAGTTTCAATTTTGCCTCAAGTATCAACGACAACATAAAACCGGAGATTTCAGACTTGTGGGACATGCCTTGGGTACCCGTGCAACTGTCTTATGTTTGTATCTGTAGAGCTGGTATAACCGCCTTTCGGCGTAACACACCAGCTTCGCAGGCACGCGGCGCGGCGGCAGCTGGCTGTATTACACCGATTGATTTGTTACATGACTAACCCTTGAACCTCTAACTCTAGACATTGTTTAAAGCTATCTAATGACAATGCTCCTACTGTACTTGGTGACAGCCAGTTCCACTCTGCGATAGCTCTAGGAAAGAAGGAATTCTTGAACACCTCAATGCTTGGCTGATGGCTCTGGTTCTTGAAGACATGGCTATTTCTTGTTCTCTTCTGGGCTGGTCTTAGGTACTTAGTAGTTGTGACGTCCACCAGTTTATAAGTCATTTTGTACATCATGCATAGTCTGGACTCTGGACATCTTCCTTCTTACCAGTAGGTGGGCCTCACTGGTAAGAAGTGACACTAGCACCTCTTTCATACTTGTTCATACAGAATCTTGCAGCTTGATTCTGTACCTTTCCAATTTGTCTTTGTCTTTCTTTGTATATGGATCCCATACTGTCGCAGCATATTCTAGGTTCGGTCTTATAATACAAGTCTTGTTCTGCGAAAATACATAATAGAAGGAATTACATCATAGCATGTACCATGACCATTAGTACGGTCGTATGGCGTTGCTTACCCCGGTATTACGCCACGGTACAGACCACATACCACATACATATACCTATCACACAGGACACACCGGGTCATCTAAAATCATAGCTCTCTGCCTATTGACACCTTCTATTGACTATACAGTCAAATTTGGCTGGCCAAACAACAAGCGCAGGTGCAGCAGGCCTTATAACCATCTAGCAAAGCAATTATAAAGCAACCAATATTCCTCGACAACCGATTTTCCTGAGCCCCTTGAGTGGTTGAGCAGACAAGGTTCTGAACTAATTTACGGTCTTGGAACTTCAAGGGGGAACACCTTATCCCGAGGTCTGTGGGTACGAGACTCTGGTGACGAGACTCCGCCGAGGGTACCGCCTGCAGAAACCGAGCGGCTGTTCCGATGAGCTGTAAGTAGTACCCCCATTTAACTTAGCGGTGCTCTCACTGCGCTCTCTCTGCGACTGGAATTTGCTAGAGCGCAAAGAGAGTGGCGAACTCCACGAAAATAAAAAAAAATTACAAATGAAGAACTATACAATATAGTTAAAATCTTGGCCTCTTTGAATTCAAGAGTGTTGCGGTTAAAATAATCATTGCGTAACATAACAAAGAGAGGAATAGAATATGGGGGTCCAGTCTTTTTGACAGAAAAACGGTCATGAGAAGTTACAACACCGGCATGGAAACAGGAAAATGAATTTTAAAAAAAGTCTAGGAAATGATTCTAAATTCTAATCCCTGCGATTTTAATTAATTCCGTATCTGTATCTGTTTCTGTATAGCGGTATAACCGCCTTTCGGCGTAACACACCAGCTTCGCAGGCACGCGGCGCGGCGGCAGCCGGCTACATTACACCTATCGACTTGTTACACGTAACCCTTGAACATCTAACTCTAGGCACTGTTTAAGCTATCTAATGACAATGCCCCTACTGTACTTGGTGACAGTGAGTTTCACTCTGCGATAGTTCTAGGAAAGAATGAATTCTTGAATACCGCAATCCTTGGTTGATAAATCTGGTACTTGAAGGCATGGCTATTTCTTGTTCTCTTCTGGGCTGGTATTAGGTACTTAGGAATTGGGACGTCCACCAGTTTATTAGTCATTTTATACATCTTGCACATTTATTTGACTCAGGTACAAACTGATGAACCTCTGCTGGCAGGATGACCCGGATGTAAGGCCCACGCCTGACGTGGTTGAGGAGAAATTGGAGCAGCTGCTGCAGCAGGACCAGGTAGGAAACACCCTGCGGGGTCGTGTGGTGTAACGGTAGTGCTCGACTCAAAACCATAAGGTCCCGGGTTCGAATGTTGCCATGTCACAGATCTTGTTGTGCCCTTAGGAAAGGCACTTTACACGACACAAGCTGGTGTGTTACGCCGTAAGGTGGTTATACCGGCTATACAGATAGAGACAGACCTTTACCACTTAAATGAAAATTAGTATTGTAGTGTCCTGTATTTGTCCTCTGCGTTGGTGGCGCAAAAATTGAGTGTGTCGTCACCATACCGAGTTATGAAATATCGGAATAAAAAAAACACTTCTGTTCGCATGGATGATCTAGGTGCCATTTTTATACTTTCGCTACAACTCTCAGTACTGACATCAAATGTTCTATGTAGCCCCTTCCCACGGAATGTGTGACTGATCACATCAAAACTATAGAATATATCAACAAGATTTTAGGACTCATTTTCACCATAAAAAATAGTCCAATAGGAATTTGGTACGAGAAATATTTGACTTAAAGGATGTTTTCTATCGTTACAGGCTTTCTTTCCAAAGGCATAGGAAACTGGAGAGAGCGCTGGAATACAAAGGAAGCGGACAAATGAATGTGGTTTCCTTTCTATACCCTTATGTATTAAAAATGATAATGATACTGATTGCATCATTCTGAGAAAGCTTAGCCAAGACATGTTGATAACCAAGAAAACTTTTCTGTAGCAATGAACTTTAGAGTTTTACATAAATGAGTCCTTATTATATATATAATTCCTGAATATAATCAAACTATAAGTAAAAATAATGTAAGGATTACATATACGTCGCAGCCTTAGCGGACCCTTTGATTACTTAACCCTATCTAGACCGGGCTTTTTTGGGCTTGGTGGGACCAGGGGGCGGGGGGCTCTTTCGGCCCCCCTCAGAACTCGCGAACGGTATATCGTATGACCACCAAATTTTCAGAGGATGGTGTACTAGTAAAAATTTAAAATATCTACAATTGTTACGTCGTTTTGACGTAATATGACGTCATTATGACGTCATAAATGTGATTTTATTGCCCAAAACCGCCTAGATAGGTTATTCCCTGAAAACTAAACGGTATACGACATAACTACCAAAAGTGTTTGTGGCAAATTATTAGGGTGTACTGAGTCTTAATTTGCCCATAGCAACACCTGTCACGTTATAAAATGACGTCATGCGTACATTAGCTATCCGCCATCTTGGATCATCAATCTTGAAATTTGAAAATATTTTTTTTCAGGATAAAGCCTATAATACATTGCAAACAGACTAAAGACGTTCATATGAACCTTTTTTGTAAAAAGAAATGGGAGTATTGATGAAATTTTAAGGAAAATAACCCGTATATACCTGATCTAATGATATGGTCCGCCATCTTGGATTTTGGCCAATGACGTCGTCAAATTAGCATAAATTATGCATTTTTAATGATAAAATTTACATATTGTTATCGGAAATGTTCTTAATATTAGAAACCATGTGTAACTTGACATAAAAAATTCTGTTGTTGAAATGAAAATTATTAAATTTAGCAAAAATGTCTGTCAGAAACCCGTTGCCATGGCAACACCAAAAATCATAATCTTATTCCAATGATCAAGATTTGTTGCCAACAATATTTTAGGAGAAGTTATCAAGTTTGGCGGTTCTAGCTCTAGCCGTTCGGATGCTATGTGACATCAAAGTTGGCGCGGGCACTTTTAGCCCCCCCCCCCGTCTAGATAGGGTTAAGTCTGCAGAATTCTGCACAGAGTTCGGCAGAAATCTGGATCTACTTCCAGAATTCTGCAGAATTAGGTCAATACCCATGTGAAGACTGCTACCTATTCCTCAAATCATTTCTACCCAAAGTTTACGATATTAGCCTTTCTAGATGTAAGGCTGTTGAGATAGAAGAATTAGTCTAGAATTAAAATGAAATTCCGGAATTAAACTGGAAGCTGTTCTGAGTTGCTACAACAAAAATGCTAACGGGGAACCTCACCCACTTTTCTTTTCATAGCAATCCACTTAATATGATAAACAACCATTAACAACGTCTCGAATTATGTTGTACACAATGTCACACAAACATATATACCATCTATTTATAATATGTTTCCATTTTAACAGTTTGTACTATTTACTGCACTTTTAAAACCCACTGAACGGCGATCAAGCTGTAACCTCACAAGAACCTAAAATCAACATCTGTATTCTAGCATCAGGCGAAATGAAAAAAAAGGAATGTTACTAACTGCAGACAAAAAGGAAACAATACATTTGAAAATTTTGTTTTAAACTCGCTAGGTCACTAGTCAACTGCCCTGCCCGTAAGGAATGCACGGAACAGAAATTTAATACGAAATCCTAGTAAATATGTTTAAAGGAGTACTAACCTCCAGAAGGAAGTGCTATTTTCCGATTCATCATGCTGCAATGAAGACATAATTAGCCGACTTTTCACATAATTTCGCTTGTACGACTTGTGCGACGCATGTTTGTCAAGCGATATCAATATCAATTTTCCCCATGCTGAACCACAATCGATACATCCGGGAACTCTGGCTTACGCAATACTCATACACTTCAGGTCAATATAAACATTTTTCGGCGAAAATGGCAGGAGACAAGCACACTAACAAGCTGATTATTGAGAAATTACTTGCTTTACTTTGCTTGACCTGTTGCTTGAATACTATAATATCAGGATGTCTAATGCAGAGCGCCAGTTTCATCCTGCGTGTTTTGATTTTCTCAACTTATTTGCATGTAAGTATTAATTGTACACGTAATTAGATTACGCCACTTATTGAAAAGATAACTAGATTACCCCGCTTTTTTCATCGTCAATATTTTCGGCATAAATGAGGGGCGATAAGGACTTTAAGAAGGGCAATGATTGGTAAGATGCCAAAGAACACAAAACGGTAAACATTTTTCTTATCGCCCCTGAAATAAAGTCTGTAACGCAACTTTTTGTTTAAAACATAGACACCAATGTGGCAGCGTGGTGTATTCTGGGATAGTTTTGAGGGTATTTGGAGAGTTTGTCCTGGATTCGATGCGTTTGAAGACTTGCGCACAAAATGGGCATTTAATTGTATACTGTAAAGTAATATGCATTTTTCACTTCCTAAAATTAATGCCTGTCGGAATATAGCACCGCCTTCTGGAGGTTAGTACTCCTTTAAACGTCTCATTTTCTAATTAGAACATCCTGGAGGGACATTGCTACAGCCGCCATGCATCTACCCTGATGCTTGATTGTGATTTTCTAATTGAATGATAAATAACGTATTTCTGTGCATTGCGCGTTGATTACAACTTTATATATCTCCATCTATTTAACCCTACCTAGACCGGGGGGGGGGCTAAAAGTGCCCGCGGCAACTTTGATGTCACCTAGCGTCTGAACGGCTAGCCGTAGAACGACCAAACTTGGTGACTTTTCCTAAAATATTGTTGGCAACAATTCTCTATCATTGGAATAAGATAATAATTTTTTGTGTTGCCATGGCAACGGGTTTGTGACAGGCATTTTTTGCTAAATTTAGTACTTTTTGTTTCAACAATAGAATTTTATGGGTTTTATGTCAAGTTACTCATGGTTTCTAATATTAAAAACATCCCATATAATTTTATGTAAATTTCATCATTAAATATGCATAATTTATGCTTATTTGATGACGTCATTGGCCAAAATGCAAGATGGCGGACCATATCATTAGAACAGGTATATACGGGTTATTTTCATTAAAACTTCATCAATACTTCCATTTCTTTTTACAAAAAAGGTTTGAATGAAGGTGTTTAGTATGTTTACAATGTATTTGAGGCTTTATCATGAAAAAAAAACTATTTTTGAAAATTCAAGATTGATGATCCAAGATGGCGGATATCTTAAATATTCATGACGTCATTTTATGACGTCACTGGTGTTGCTATGGGCAACATAAGACTTAGTACACCATAATATTCTGTCATAAACACTTTTGGTAAAGTTATGTTGTATACCAGGGAGGTTTTCAGGGAAAAACCTATTTAGACCGTTTTGGCCAATAAAATCACATTAATGACGTCGTTATGACGTCATATTACGTCATAACGACATAAAAATTGTAGATATGATAAATTTTCACTAGTACACCATTCTTAAAAAATTGGGTGGTCATACGACATACCGTTCGCGAGTTCTTAGGGAAGGGGGTCAAAAGAGCCCCCCCCCCCCCGGTCCCCCCATGTCAAAAAAAGCCCGGTCTAGGTAGGGTTAATGTTTAATAACCATTACATAAAGTACCTACCAACATATGCATAAAACAATGCAAATTTGTCAATACCTTCTTGAGTTTTTTAATTTAAATGTTAACAAAAATGGCAAATAATAGACTCCTCATTTTCATTTCTTCTCATTCTCTTCTACTCTTTTTGTAATTGACTTCGGGATGTAACGACGTTAGTATTGTTTTCGTAGTTTTGTTATCTTAATTTTAAAGTTCTTTGGTATGACTCAGCCGGGGAAAGAACTCAAGGGATGCAAGGATAGCACTCACTCGACCATCGCACTGGATCTATTCATTATTTAGTTTGTGATATCCTCTACATGACATAATGAATTCGCATTTCGAAATGGTTTCTGGAAAATGTCACCTGAATATTTATATCTTATGAGATTTTTATTTTAAAACGGATTTTGAAACAAGTATGAATTTTGTCTTATAGGGGTGAGTTTTAGTGATTACTTATTGGTTAGGTTGTAATGTTTGTCATAGTTTTACATTTTTACCGACTTTTCGTACGTGTTTCTCAGTTTTGTCTTATACGTTGTACATGATTTCGTAGTTGTGAAAAAGACAACCATCAAAGAAAAGTGTATTTAAACAAGTGCTTTTTTTTAAAAAAGCTGGCCTTTCGCTTAGTTAAGTGTGATATCATGTTCAGCGAATATTAAAAAAATAAAACAAGAATGACAAAAAAGTAAAATTCATTCTATTACATACAAGTTTATTCAAATGGAAAGTACATGTACAGTGGAGCAAGGACATTAGACAGAAAATATCCTTGAGTGAGTCTATGGTCGGGTAGGACGTCCGTCCTGTATGGAAAACTGTGCAAATTATACCTACAGGCTCCGATCGAACTGAAACGGCTAACATATAGAACACCCGACTTAACTTCATACAGCTTGCCGCACAAAACTTTGCATACAAAAACCATCCATACCTATATTTTCATACCTACATTCTATATTTAAAGAAAATAGTCCGGCTAGCGCAAAGGGCAAAATTCTATACAACGGACGAACAAAAATTATTTATGTAACGTCAAAATAGTCCGGCTAATGCTTAGGTCCCAATTGGAAAAATGGGCCCTGGCGGGTAGTTCCCGAACTGTTTTTTTTCACTTTCGGGCGGGACCCCTACGTGTCCCCGCGGGACATCCCGCGGCTATTGGGCTCTCGGTTGGGTTAAGGCGGCCTAGGCTGATATTCATGTTCGAGTTCGGGCGTGTGTCTGCACGATTGCCACATACATGTTTCGAACCCGAATCATGTTCCACCATGTTCGATATGACGTCATTCGAATAGAACGCGTGTTCGAATTCGGGGCTACCGGCGGTCATTTGTATGTTTCCCCTGTAAACCCGCGTTGTTACGCATTTTATTCACGGAGTATGACTTAAACGGCTTAACGCGCAGCTGAAAACAACGTAATTCATCCTTAGAGTAATCCATGTTTACGTAATATCACTTTTTTAACAAAATTGTCCGAGGCTATTTTGCTTATAAGTCGAAATTTTTTAACTGTGGCGATTTTTTAACGAAAAATGACAGAAAAATAGCTGTTTCTGTCGTTTTTGGCCCCAAAAAACAATGTAACTGTCATTTAAAACAAAATAGCCTCGGACAAAAATAATAAATAGGGGGTTGGCTTTCTACTTGTAAAATATCATGATGAAAGGTGTTGTTACCGCTTGCGCGTAAAGCCATGAAGTAAACAGCTTTTTTATAACCAAAATGTTGATTTTTAACCCAAAAATTCAGAAGTAGTAAAAACAAAATAACCTTTATTCAATGTGTTTCAAGTACTACTAGAACTGTGTGAAGTTAAGTTGTGGTGCGACCAAGCTATCAAAAGTTACAGCCATATATATGAAATACTAATCATAGTTGGCCATAGGCTGCCTTAACCCAACCGAGCTATTCTTGGGCCCGGCGGGGCCCAGAGAAGAATTGAATTCTGAGTTAAATTCTACCCGGGCCCCGCTGACAAGAAGACGCCGTGACCTCACCGTGAGAACACCGAGAGGTACCCCTCCGGTTGTCGGCAGTCCAACGGGACACATTTGTTAAGTCACAGACCAGATAAACAGAATAAAGGTAATACTATGTACTTCCTTAACCCGGATAAAATGTGTGACGTCACAGATCAAATGATCACAACAAAAGCGTGAATTCTGCATTACGTTTAGATCAGTACAAGACATCATCAGAGAATCTGCCGGGTGCCTGCGGAGACCGACCAAAGAGGGTGAAACTTTTTAACAAAATGCTACTGAAGGAAACTTTTAATTGTGACCACGACAGCCGTTGCCCGCCCGACGTCTGAGCCCGACCGGGACCGGCCCGGGCTACATCCCCGACGGGCACCGGCACAATTGGGACCGAAGCTTAAGCAAGGTTCAAGTCTTATAACAAACGTTACATAAACTTTATAATTTCACTCTACACTATAGTATGGAGTAAAATATTGTTTTCCCTCAGTCATGATTCTCCTTCTCTTGCCATGTCTTTAAATTGATTTAAAAATTCCTTCATTTTTGGGCTTTTCTCCCTTTTTTTCATACAAGCTCTTATAATCGTCTTATTTTATTGCTGTTTCAATGGAAACTATACTGCGTGGCATGTGTGCAGTTGTGTTTTGTCTTCCTCATAGGTTCTTGAGTTAATTGAATTATCTGCATCAGCTCCACCTCCAGTGACGAATCATAGAAATCGTTTCAAATCCCCGTCGAATTTTAACGCTGGAGCGATTGGTTAGGAATTTATAGCTAGGGTTGACTCAAACACGTGACAATGTTACACGAAGAACTAGGATATGAAAGACCTTTAGGCATATCAAGTCAGGAATATCATGCTTTCTTTTAATTCTACCGATACTTTTGTAGCAGCGTCCAGTGGCGCCTGTAGGTAAGATGCACCGTTCAGTCTAGTAATACTACTAAAGACAAATTCTGCAATGGTGCATTAAGAGCATACTTTCGTACGTATTTGGGGGGGTTTCTAGAATTCTCATAATTTTATTGTATCTCTATTGAATTAATGTTACATAACCCATTGTTACATATTCCAAGTTGATGTTGCATATGACTGTAAGAAAGGCATACTCTATCCCTTACTTTAGCGACAGGGCAGTCAGAACAACACGAGTGTGTTAAACCGATTGCATGTACCAATGGTCTTTACAAGAGATCGATAGCGTATTTAGGTGCAATGACATTAAATAATTTACCACAAAATGTAAGAAAAGCACCCCCAATGACAATATTAAACAATATGTTGCAATAATCCACTACGGAATCGATTATGACTGGACATATGATAGAGACGATGCTGTAAGTTTTCAAAGTACTGTTCTTTGAATACCATGTTAATTTGCGCAAATGCAACACATGAAGAGACTAGTGTAGTTTTCAAACTAGTAATATATAAATGTTTAGGGAAGGGGCAGGCTGTCGTTCCAACGGATTCCGATAAGTGCGCATATTTCGCTGTACACCGATACCTCGTGCTGCACAGACTTGTCGTGAACGCGACCGGCGTTGCTAGGTGACGTCATCAGCTGTGCCCAGGCGTAGTTCGTGACGTACAAGCGGCGACCTCTAACCTCTGGATGGCTGCTGCGCTGGAGAGGCCGGGCGAACGCGTCCACAGCTAACTCCCGCCATATCTTTAACATAAACCATTTGATTGATTGATTAATTGATTGATTGATTGAAACCGTAATTTCGCCATCACCGTATATTACTGAAAGAAAATTCTCCCACACCGCATTGTGGTGCGATGAAGACATGTTGTCTATCCTCATGTTTCTTCTCCTCCTCCTCCCTCTTTTTCTCCTGCCATTTCTTTAAATGGATTCAGTTTCTTCATTTTGGGGCTAAATGACCTAACATTCGGTATGGAGGCAGGGTGGACAAATTGCTACAGGCGTTTTTTTTTTATACAGGCTTTAAGAATCGTCCTATTTTTTTGGGGGGGGGAGGGGGCATTTTCCGACAAATGGTGTTCACAATGTTGTGGCCCTGGGTGACTCATAAGTATGGTATGCGAATCAAGAACCCATAGTCATGCTGCTTACCTTCATTTCCGTTATTTATTCGCTATTGGAATTTACTGTAAGCTAATTCATAGTCTATAGATAGATGATTCCTCGTGCATCTAAACATGGCTCAATTGGCCTTGAAATTTTCTAATCACAAAGTTAGATTAGGAGGTCAGGGATGTTTATTTTTTTAAATTTATCTGTTTTTACCTGATAGTTTGTTATTATTGCTATGTCAATAAAATAAAAAAATGTTCTTTTTTTTTCTTTTTGCCCTTTTTATTACTACTTTTAACAAAAACAGGCGTTTTATTCAATTCTTTTGCTAAGAACTGTCCAGCCTTAAGTCCCTCCGCCCGTAACAGGTAAGTAATCTTGGCCGGTAGACTTTGATACTGTTTCTGGGATATCGAGGTGTGTCATTGGGGCTGGATAACACTCTTAGGCCACAGCAAGTAAATTCTATGGATGATATCCTCCACAGATTCCAAATCTAATGCGAGCGGGCGAAAAAAAACAAGGCGGGCCGAAAAAAACAAGGTTCTTACATTTTGAAATTTTGATTCTATCATTGAATAAATGGTTTTGATTTAATGGGAACATCACATAGACACAGCCAACATCACATATTACTGCATCAAAGTAAGAAACAAGACATAAAATCAGAGCATTGTCTTGCCTCCTCTCTTTATAGTTATCTGCCATTCACTTTCCGGCATGGCAACAGACATCTTGGCCCAATTTATGCATGGTGACCACTATCAGAAGGCAGCAAAATTTGTTTTTTTTCCCAAAATCAGGCGAAAATTAATGCGCGCGCTGATGTCATCCATAAAACTTACTTGCTGTCGCCTTAAGTAATGAAAAAGAATCAGCCCAAAGGTCTATGTTAGCACCAAACTAGATTTATGCAACAACGTAAAAATTAATCAAATACACTCAATTTTAGCGTTACGTTTTATTGAAAAACTCACGCTTTTTAACATATGCAAAAAAGCTCAGATAAACCTGAATCCCCACATACAAGTTGTATTCTTAGTTCATTGTTAACCACAGTTCTTATCGCCATAATGTTCATATGGGATCCAGGCTGACTGACTCACACTGTTGCATGCAGAAACATGATAAAATGATACATATATGATATATTGGTTTATATACCAATTATACGAATATGAGATAAACACACATTCTTGGTCATAATTACTATAATTACACAAAAGCTACTTGTTATCCTAACGCAAAATTCTTTACAGATCAAGAAAAAGCAGTCTACATGTAACAGCTGGATAATTTCTCTTTTCCGGTTGTTCCCCATTGGTCTCAAGACTAACCCTATCTGATTAGTTCGTTAGCTCCGGCTGTGTATAAATGTCCTCTGAGCTGAATAGATAGCAGATGAAGGTATCAATAGATGAAAGTAAATGCAATTGTTACAGTCAAGATGTGTTCATGTCTGTTTACACAGGGAACCTATACTTACAAAGACTAAGTGTCACGGACAGATCATTTGTTTGAAGAGTTTGATGAACCAAGAGTTTACAGATAAAATATGCGATCTAAGATATGAGGTGCAAGATACCGCCAAGAAGGCGACTCACTATCTAAAAGTACAAGTCTTTCCTGGTTAGATACGTAACTTAACTTAGATATATATGTTGTCTGCTTTATATGCTCCATAGGAGCTATAGGCTCCATTGCACACATTCACCTTCGTATGGTATTGAACATACTAAAGATGCAAATTTAGTTTGTTTGTTCCACCAGTGGGGTTACTACCTTACTAAAGTTTTCAAAGGACTACAGCCCTTGTAAGGGCATGTCCTGGCTGCACATGCATGTTACTTAAAGCTGAATCAAAGCCTAGCAATCAAGTCGCACTTTTTTTTGGTTGTGTTAAGGCACGTTTACACAACTCTAATTTACTTGCCCAGATACATGGTCATGGGCACGGCCACGGCAATGCTGATGACGTACATGACAAGGCAGAGCCTGTCCAGGACCTTAGCCAGCAGGGTGTAGTCAGACACCTCCTGCTCATTCTTCATGGCCTCGGCCAGCTCCTCCATGTTACGGGAGGCGGAGGACATGGCAACCTCCAGGCGTGAGACCGCGGCCTCCAGGCGCGTGGGCGGCGCGGACGGCTGACGGGCTGTCTCGCGGACATCAGCCGGGCTTTGCACGTCGACCACCGCCGGGGCATCGGCAGGAGAGACGCGGTTGGTGCGCTCAGGCCAGGCCAGCTTCCTGCTGCTGGGACCAGTCTCTCCATCGTCGCTTACGACCTTCTTCTCTGTCAGATCTCCGAGCAGTAGGCACCTTAACAAACACCACCAAGAAAAAATGATGTCGATGTTTCTTTCTGATACATACGTTCACTCTTATATCAGTAGGCATGTCCAAACATTCAGATTACTTCATGTTCAAAATAGAAGCAATGAATAAAATGTTAAAATGTTACCAAGGTTGATACTTTCAAAATCAGACTGAATCTACAAAGAATCATCATCTACGAAGAAATATACAAAATCTACAAAGAAAAGAGCCTAAAATACATGCTAATTTGCAGCTTGGAAGGGTAACAGATGCAGAAAAAGTTTTTAAAAGTATTAAGTTGCTAATTTGATTCCATCGTATAAAAATAGATAACGAATCTTTCCCGGTACGTTAAATTCATATCAGCCCAAACATGTAAAAGGGCCTAATAAACCTCCTTATAACTTAAAAACGAAACAACAATAAAGATGTATATGAGTTTCACTTGAAGGGCATTTGTCTATTTCTGTACAGTGCTATTCCGTCTAACCTGAGCTAGTGTTACGAATAGTACATACTTTGCCATGTAACGGAGAAAGAAGGTCTTCGCCATTGGAGACAGGCTCCCCTGCCTGTCATGAATGGTGATGATGGCCATGGTGAAGAAGAGGAAAAGTCCCATCAGCGCCATGCACACGACGATCAGCGAGGCTGTAACAGCATCCGTGGTTAACAGTTACCGACATGTTCCGGGAATATTTATCACGGTTAACAGTTACCCTAAGCAACCTAAGCACAAAATACTCATAAAATCCAATGAGGACTGTAAATCTGTTTTGCTAAGACTACACCCGCTCTCGAACCACTACTTATAGATGGACGGACACTACTTGTTCACATTAAATTACTCGGTGTGAAAATACAGATGTTTACCGTAGCAAACAGAAAACTGTTCCGTTATCATCGTTGTAAATGCCTATTAATTCAGAATTAGTGTCTGCAAGAAGATAAAGTTTTAGGTTTCAAGAATTACCCATTGATTTTCGCTTACTTTTTTTTCTTAACGGAGTCCAGCCTGGCCATGAGGAAGGTATCTAAGGGTTTACTTAATGCCGCCAAGATACATTCTACGTACTTGGGTTGAAATGCAGAAGTGGCAGAAAACCAGATGAATGGAATCAAGAAGGTATTTTAGTTTCCAAGTAGTTTAAAATTCTAAACTAAGGAAAATATTTACAACATGGTCGCATCTATATGTTTACTCACCGAAAAATGGCAGCGCCCCCTTGACAGGAAGCACATCCGTCACGAACACGAGAGACACGACCACGGAGAGTTGAATGGTCACTCCGAACGAGATCCGGTCCCCCCTGTCCAGTGGCATGACGAATGTGATGACCATGAGCGCCACCAGGATGACACAGGGTCCAACAGTAGTGGCGATGTGGAACAGCGGGATCCTCTCCAGCTGAACAGTGAAGCACGCCTCCGTCTTGCCTTTTGCGGAGAACATGTCCTTCCGATACCATTCGCCCTCCAGTTGTTGGTTAGACAGGACACCACAGGCACTGCCATTTTGGCATTCTGTGTTCGACAAATCATTGCAACAAACTATCAGCAAAAAATATTTTTTTCATGCATGACAAAGGTAGCCAAAAAGTATGCAGACAAAATCAGATTGTATACTGAATCCGATTTCCTTAATTTTTACATTGTATATGGGAAAGAACCCATAACAAAACCATTATATAATCACAGAAATATCATTATCATTGTTATCATCATTGGTAAACAGTGACCAAAATATTCCTGGAATATAGTAAGATGTAGACAGTGACCGGGATGTTCATGGAATGTCAACCGTGACAAACAGTTGCCAGATCGCTTCGATAAAATATTATATTTAATTTACATCATTTTTTTTATTGATTATATTCATAAAAATTATTTTAATATCGACATTTTTTTTTTAAAATACTTCCAATGTCATACCGATGGTTGCAGAAAATGCAGCAAAGCAGATGTTGCATTCCATGGTGTCTGCAGGGAAGTAGAAGGGGTCCGCATCACACACGGTGGTGGTCAGGGTTTCTACCCTCCAGATTACCTGGCCATTGCTACTGATCCAGACCGGAACGATTTTTTGGTAGGCCTTGGTATAAAGGATTAGCACTGTGGAGTAATCAGAAGTTTTTTACTAGTTAATTTACTGGTAAGATAACCATCATCTAGTGTCAAACTGATTAAACCATTCCTAACATTGTATCCCAGTGTCAACAAAAATGTTGTCGGCCATTTTGTTAGTTATATTTTAAGGTAATTGTGTCATGTTTGGCACTACATGATCATTTTTATTTAACGGGTACTTTAAATGACATACAAGACTTAAAATCAGTGTAATGTTATTTTCATTAATTATCTTACAAGTAAAATGCTATTTTCTGCAGTTCAGGACATTTAAAAAACAACAGATCAGGCATGGTTCATTCTCGATTCAATGATAATAGTTTTAGAAGACACTACATACTTCCCCTTCAGAGTAAATGTAGGGGTCCAGATGCTGCTGCCAGGGACGCTGATAGTCTCGATGTTGTCGTAGTACTTTGGATCCCAGCTCAACCGGCTGTCCTGCCATGTCTGGAGTAACAATAAACAAAGTATTACTGTGTAGGTTATAGCAAAGAATTATACAGCAAAATTATAGCAAAATTATGATGAGGATAGCAAAACACATAAACATCGTAATAAAAACGAGACATGATTATATGAATGCGATATTATTCTAAGTGTACAGATATCTAATAACTATGTGGACTTACGAAATGGATGACGACAGAGGCAACTAGCTGCTCCTTCTTTTCCTCCTGAAAGAAAAGTTACAGCATCGGTCAGTTATGTTTTGATCCCTCCACGAACTGTCTATTTGTCATAAACCAACGAGGATTTGAAATGTGTTACAGATACTGAAACTCACCAAGTCGACGATCTGTTCTACAGATCCATTAAAGCTGATGACGGGTCGGATGTGGTTCTCAATCCGAGTAGGGGTCTCTGCCTCGTTAGGGTTGTCAGTCTCAGCAGGGTTCCCAGTGCCGGTAGGGTTCCCAGTGCCGGTAGGGTTCCCAGTGCCGGTAGGGTTCCCAGTGCCGGTAGGGTTGTCAGTGCTGGTAGGGTTGTCAGTGCCGGTAGGGTTGTCAGTGTCGGTAGGGTTGTCAGTGTTGGTAGGGTTGTCAGTGTCGCGGACAACCCTAGCGACAATAGGGTTGTCCGTGTCGGTAGGGTTGTCAGTGCCGGTAGGGTTCTCAGGCTGGGTACGCCTAACAGGCTCAGGTGCCAGGTTGAGATTGTACACATCGAGCAGGTCGGCTTTCAGACTATCCTCGAAATTCACTGAGGAAGAGACAATACATACCTATCGTTAGGACGACACATATATCAACAGATTTTTTTAACTTTTGAGATTGACCATGATGGTATATTTTGGCTTTACATTTTTTATTAAAAGAAATCTAATAAAACTTTATAAGTTTGAATGTTGTTCATGCGTTCGATGTGTTTTAAATTAAAAATACTTATGTGAATTATGACTATTGTTTATTTGTTTATTTAGGACCTTAACAGACAAAGAATCCTAAAAAGGCACACATTTGCTCGGGATCAAATGCAGCAAATGGCTTCACCACATGCCGCGTACCAAAAATGGATCTGTCCCCCTCCCCACACACAGCCATTTCCAATACTCAATGTTATGGTCATTCTTGGAAGAATCATATTATGTAGTTACAAGTGGGCCCATGTATTTGCATGTTGCAGGTACATAAAACCAGACATGCACCAGACATTATGCCAAATCTTTACAGATGACCCCAATAATCATAGGAAACACTGTCAATAAAGGTCAATGACCTTACCTACCACACTGCTACGTGTATCTGTAGCTAACTTGGTTGAAAGAATTTTTAAACCAAATTTAAAAAAAAAATGTTTAAAAAATGGCAAGGTATTTAAAAATATAGGTTATGTGATATATTTCCATTGATTTACAAATTAGTTCCCTCCTTTTTCCTGGCCAAAAAGACAAGTATGTGCCACCACGCAGGTCTTCTTTAATTAATTAGTGAATAGCCAAATAGGAACCACATCTACAAACATGGCCACACCTGCTACTGTCTTTATGCTCATATTTGGACATGGGGCTCCTGCCCCCATGCCCAAATATGGTAAGACTCTAAATATGGTAACACATACTGCTATAGCACATTACCATGACACCGCTAAAAAGTCCAAATTAATCCATTCTAACAGCCTGTAAATATATAAATAAAAAACGTTTCAGGCGATTTGCCCGGTGAAAAAAATGAAGATATTGAAAAAGTAGGAACACGAGGAAAACAATACGTCTTTACCACATCACTTCATGTTGAAGCCATAATATATGAAAAATGACAGTGCAAAGGAGGTAGAAACCTTAACAAGCTCATATACAAAGTGCACTCTTATTCAATGTATAACAATTGGAACAAGAGTTCCGAGATCTCATACCTCCATGAAATATGGGTTTGATATGTGAATTTTATTCAATTATGCAAATGACCTCTGCATTAACATAATATATGCATCGTGATGTTAACTTTTGATTAACTTACAGATGTCCTAAGTATGACATTCCCATCATTTACCATTAAGAAATCATAGAATAGAATTTTCGCATTCATTATGCAAATTAGGTCATCATTTGCATACTTAGTATCTGTTGATGTTCCATCCGCCATAGGTTACATACATTACATGTATGAAAGTACTATAATGTAAAACACTGTAATTATAGAATTTCCTCATTAATTATGCAAATAAAGTCCTCATTTGCATAATTTGTATTTAATCATGTACATCTCTCTCTCTCTCAGCTACCTACCTACCAAAAATGATGAAAATAAGTTGTTCCTATCTGGACTTATTGCCTTTCAAAGATTTCGCCCAAAGGTCTTATTCCTGACAGGAAAATCTATCTGTCACCAAAAATTCAAGACCATAGCATGTTCAGGACA